GGAAATTAGAGAGAGAGAAAAAAATTACAAAAGTGATGAGCAAAACCAGGCAAACAAGAGACAAATGGAAAATTTTTACTTATTCTTCCTCATAATAAAGGATGAAGGGAATAGGAGGCCAATGATACTATTTTTCCAAAGTACATAAGTATTATTAACCTTTTTAAAAATGGCATAATCAAGAAAGTATATTAGTCATCAGACAGAACTTGACTCAAATCAAGGTAATTTTTTTAAGCTCATTCCCAATTCAAATGCCTATAGGTTAGTTAACTGCTTGAATTAGTTTATGGAATAGTATTTCAGGGTTTCTTTCTTTTTTTATTTTTTAGATAGATTTTTGCTATAGGGCACATGTGTTCACCAGAGAGACAGAAACCAAGAAATCAATCCCCAGTGGGAATGGCCACGCCGCTATCCCTTCTCTTCCATTCTCCTATTAGGATTTTGAGCATGCACACACAAGCTCCCAGCATGGCTTTTACACCACCAGGTCTGGGAATCAAACTGCAGTCGAATACGTGGGAGTCCAGTGATGTAACCATTACACGATCTGCTAGTCCCCAGGGTTTCTTTATATAAATACTTATCTATACCCATTTCCTATTACACAAAAGGTAGCATAAAATATATACAGCTCTGTATTCTGCTTTTCAAAAAACTTACATATCCTAACATCTTTTCATGTCAGCATATACATTTTTGTTTTTAAGGAGAAGTGCCATATTACTTCTTTAATTATTTTTTTGTGTTTGGATGCACTGTAGTTTATTCAATCTCTGACTTTTAGATAAATACATGCTTTGCTTCTAATTTTTTTCTTTTATGATCTGTGCTGTAATGGATAACCTCATTTATATGTCATTTCATTAATGTCTAACATAATGATAGGTAAATATATTTGGGATTTTTGATGGCGTCGAACTCATTTAAATTGGTTAAATTTGCTTTAGCCTTTTAATGGATATAATCAAACATCTTAAATGGATTTTATATGTATATTCTTCTCAAAATATGATTTTAGACAAACATTGATTCACAATGGTCCTTTAGGAAACCTAGAAAGTGGCTGTTGAATTCCAGAAGACATGTTCGCATTGGTGACAAGAACTAAACAGTAAAACCTACTATGTAAAGTCTTAAATGAACTGATCATTCATAATGTGAAATAATATTATCTTTCTCAGAATATCCCAGATACTCAGAGCAGTTGTAAGAAGTCAGGAAACTACGTAACATATAGCCATCATGGCTGTATTTCTATCAATGCTTGTGTAAACGATCTGTATCCTTAAGTAACCCAAATAGAGAAATATTTCAGTGCCCTGTCATATTAACTTGGCCATATATAAAGTCTGTATCTTTCCTGTCACAACGAAATTCTGTCCTATTAGCCAGCCTCATTCCGAATCAGCACAGGTAGTAGAAATGAAACAGAAAGAACAATGTGGTACTTGTAAAGGACCATTTTTAATCCTCGATGTTTGTTTTTCTTTTATCTTGTGAAGAGAAAGAATATTTTATTCTCAAGATAATTCATTATTTTTCCTCATCTATAAGATATTATAGACAACTCAAAGTACTAATAAGATACCCCTGCTAAGAGAAATATATACTAACTGTTCATGCTAAAGCAGAGACATAGTCAAACATCGTTTTTAGTTTGATGAGTAAAATAAAACAGAACAAATAAACACTCATTTAACACCATCATAGAAACATCCAACTATTTCTCAGGGAGAACCTCTCCCTTTCGTAATTAAATTAACTTGTAACTTTACCAAATAAATACCAGGAGCAGAGTACTTTTAAACTGTTTTAACAGTACCTCACTGTTCAAGCCTTTTATTTTTTACAAAAGCAAATACAAATCAACATTTGACTGGAAGACTTAAGAGAGGGTTAATTTTAAATTCCAAAACACGAGCATAATCACCTGTAGCGAGGAGTCTGACGTGTGGGGTGAATCTGTTGTCAGAGTGCACGGAAGAAAACAAGTCATAACCAAGCCTCCCCGAGAGGAAACTGGATGACCATGGTCAGTGTGAGGATACAGGAATGGAGAGAGATCAAGGCCTCAGTGACAA